TCCAGACATCCTGGATTGGAAATTATTACTGTTAAGTCCTTGAAACCTAAAATCAACTATTACATATTCATGTAATATATATTATAACTCTCCTAGCATAGGCTTATAGGAGGCATATACTAAAAAGACTGACAGATATTAAGAGGGAATTACTGACCTGTCAATTTAATATGAACTATTAGCAAAATAAAGTACCAACAATGATACGGGGAATCACTAATCTGACACTTTCATAAACACAACTGGAATAATACAAATAAAACACTGTAAGAGAAAAATGTAACACAGAACTAAAAAATATCAAGGGACTCCAGAAATTATAAAGTCAGACTCTACTATCATTTTTTTCTTTGTGTATAGAGTACCTTCTTATACCTTAAAAATAGCTAGGTCTCCATAAATCAGACATCATTAGTATCCCAGTGTTAGTAAATTCTAGCACTCTTTAACAATAATATTCTTAGAGATGAACAGTTTGGTCTGCATTTATTGGATACCTATCATGTACCAAGGACTGAATATAAAAACAAAATCTCTAACTCCCAGGTTTACAGTTTAGTGTGGAAGAAACACAATTAATTTACTGATACAGTTTGTAAATTTGTCCCTGCCCAAACCTCATGGTGAAATGTAATCCCCAATGCTGAAGGTAGGGCCTGGTGGGAGGTGTTTGGATCAAGGGGGTAGATCCCTTATGAATGGCTTAGGCCATCCCCTTGGTGTTAAGTGAGTTCTTGCTCAAAATCTGATCATTTAAAAGTGTGTCCCCCATTCTCTCTTTCTCTCTCGCTCCAGCTCAGCCATGTGAGATGTCTGTTCCTGCTTTGCCTACCACCATAAGTAAAAGCTTCCTGAGGCCTTCCAAGAAGCTGACCAGATGCCACCACCAGGCTTCCTATAAAGCCTGGAGAACTCTAGGTCAATTAAACCTTTTCTTTATAAATTACCCAGTCTCTGGTATTTCTTTATAGCAATATAAGAATAACCTAACACAAATATACACAAACATACATGGGAAAAAAATCTGTAAAAATATAAATTGTTTTCAGTAGTTATGTCTAAAGCAGAGATTACAAGACACTTTTATTTTCTACAGCATCTATTTTATAATGTTTACAATTTTTATAATGGCATATATACTTATATACATTGAAAAAATAGTAACATTTTTAAAAAGGAGAAAAATCACCTGACAGACTTTTAAACTCATCTGCCCCCTAGCTTTTCTCTACTACCTAGATCTTAAAATTCACAAACAATTGTGGATTTAAAATTATAGTTACTATATATATAATGATACATAAGTACAAAAATATTATATAAATGGACTATTTGGACTTTTTGTTTTGTTTCTCAGACAGGTCTTGCTCTGCTCTCCAGGCTGGCGTGCAATGGCATGACCATAGCTTACTGCAGCCTCAACCTCCTGGGCTCAAGCTAGTCTGGACAGTCTCCAGACTAGCTAAGACTTGGTAGGCGTGTGCTACCAAGTCTGGTTAACTTTTTACTTTTTTTAGAGACAGGGTTGCCTATATTGCCCAGCCTGGTCTCAAACTCCTGGACTCAAGTGATCCTCCCATCTCAGCCTTCCAAAATGATAGGATTACAAACATGAGCCACCATGCCCGACCAGATTATTTAGATTAGGGAAATAATTAGAAACTCAAAATGTTGACTACTAAAAGATTAATCAAATTATAGGATATCTATATCAAGAACACTAAAGGAGGCAGTGCTGTGATAAGGTTAATAGTACAGACTTCAGAGCCACAGTGCCTGGGTTTGCACCCTAGCTCTACCACTGACTAGCTACATAACATAATCAAGTTTCTTATCTTCTCTAGGACTTGGTTTCTACATCTGTAAAATGATGAGGAAACTGCAAAACCAGATAATTGTTGTAAGGGATCAAATTAATAATTTTAAATATTAAATATATTTAAATATAATAATTTATTTATAGAATATATAAATAATAATATAAATTTTTATATAAATTTATAATTTAAAATATATAAAAGTACTTAGTAAACCTTCAATAAATGTTAACTAATATTTATTATGTGTATTGAAATGAAACAAAGCCAAACTTTCATTACTAAGTAAAAAAAAACCCAAAATATTTTGCATAATAATCCAATTTTAGCAAACAAAATTGTAAGGAAAACATGTTAACATATGAATAGAAAACGTGGGAGGAAGTATGACATATAAAATCACAAACCTGGGTTTTATACTTGGGATTTGAGTTCTAGATCTACTAAATATTATCTGTGTGATCTCAGGCAAATAATTTTTCTAGGCCTCAATTTCTTCATTTGTGAAATAAAGACAACCTCATGGGGTTGCTGCAAAGATTAAATAATATACCTAAATTACAATATCTGGTACACAACAAGAGCAATAAATGTTGCCTACTGTTGTTGTATTATTACTATTATTATTATTACAGTTGTTGAGCATGCCTCTCTTGTCAACTATTATATATGTAGTATCTAAAACAATGCCTAGCAAAGTAGGTGCTCAATGATTACTTGTTGATTAAATGGATGAGTCAAACTGTTAAATGGTTAGTAGAGATGGGTGTGGGATTACAAGGATATTCATGTTCATCACTATGTATTTCTGTAATGTTAAGTTCTGCTATCAGAAAAAAAACCAAATGATACATTTTTAACTACACTATAAAAAAACCCTATTTTCCTTAAAGTAAAAGCAAGAAGTTCTAATTTCTCTAAGAATGCTCAATTCAAAAAAGTCAGGGGAAAATGGAAAGCAGCAATAAAATAAAAGAAAAAGGAAAACAAGCTACTTGAAGCAAAGGCTTTATCTCAAGGGCAGTAATGAGAATAAGCAGTTTTATTTTCCACCTTTCCAAAGGTTATTCAGATTATTCTAAGCAATTTTTTGGGTCTCAGAAACAAGTGCAATTTTCAAACAAATGCAATCAAAGTATTATCTATGGCTCTCTAAGAATCCCTAAGACCCTTTCCAAGGAGTTTGTGAGCTCAATATGGTTTCCACCGTAATTCTAAGATAGTTTTAACCTTTTCCTCTTCTTTTCCATCTGCACTGTTGGCACAAAAGCAACAGTGTGTAAAACTGCTGGTATTTTAGCATGAATCTAGGCAATGACATTAAACTATTTCGCTGACATACATAAGAGTTTCAAAAAAAAGAAATAAAACAAGAGCAAGTTTTACTAAAAAAAAGTCTTTGACAAAGCAGTAAAACTTATTTTTATCAAACTTTGACCTTGGAGTACAAGTCTTTAATATTCTGTGGAATGAAATAGGAAGTACAAATAAAGAACTACTGCTGTATACCAAAATATGCTAGTTATCTTGAAGAAAGTACTTCAGCAATTGATTTGTAAGCTAAATTGTTAGCTTTTTTCCTTGGAACATCATTTTTGCTTGAAAGAACAAATGAGAGACAAATGTGGTTTTCCAGACAAGGATATCTGGCAGATATTTTCTTAAAAATGAGTTATATCAGTCTGTGGCTTTGTGAACAAACACCTAATAGTATTTGTTGTTGTTGATAAAATTTGAATTTTCAAGTGCAAATTTAAAAATTAGAATTTTGTAAAACTTAGATCTGCCACTGTGAGCTTAAAAGATTTGCCGTAGGTAACTTAACTTCTCTGATAATATCATATCTAATGTGTCAACACTTAGACATTCACAAATCAGTAAATGTATAATGTTACAAAATCATACAGGAATAAAAGATCCATTTGAAGGGGTCCAAAGGATTTGACCATAACAAAGTACAAATTTTACATTACAACTCACCTTTGAGAAAGCAATACTTTTAAAGTTTTGACATATTGTCAAAGAATATCGTATTTACCTGAAAAATACAATATTTCTCCTTTTCCAACTACACATATGTGTGAGACAGAACTTTTTTCATTGATTTCAACCAAAAGCAAAACAAAACAAAAACACTGCAACAGACTGAATGAAGAAGCATGCAGGATCCAGCTGTGGTATTAAGGCAGACATTTAAAAGATTTGCAAAAATGTAAAACAATGCAATCTTCTAGCTAACTTTTTTGGCTAACTATAGTTATTTTTCATTAAAAAATGTGATTATGTTAACATATAACAAGTTTATTATTACTTCAAATCTATTCATAGTTCTTATTTTTTTTTTTTTGAGACAGGGTCAAGATCTGTTGCCTAGGCTGGAGTGTAGTGGTGTGAACATAGCTCACTCAGCCTCCATATCCTGGGCTCATGCAGTCCTCCCACCTCAGCCTCCCAAGTAGCTGGGACCACAGGCATACCACCACCATGCCCAGCTAATTTATTTTTTTGTTTTTGTTTTACAGAGATGGGTCTCTTCATGTTTCCCAGGCTGGTGTCAAATTCCTGGGCTCGGTCGGGCACAGTGGCTCACGCCTGTAATCCTAGCACTTTGGGAGGCCAAGGCGGGTGGATCACCTGAGAGATCCGGAGTTTGAGACCAGCCTGGCCAACATGGTGAAACCCCGTCTCTCCAAAAATACAAAATAGCCTGGTGTGGTGGCGTGTGCCTGTAATCCTAGCTTCTTGGGAGGCTGACGCAGGAGGACTGCTTGAACCTGGGAGGTGGAGGTTGCAGTGAGCCTTGCACCACTGCACTCGAGCCTGGGCGACAGAGCAAGACTCCATCTCAGAAAAAGAAAAAACAAATTCCTGGGCTCAAGGGATCCTCCTGCCTTGGCCTCCCAAAGTGCTGGGATTACAGTTATAAGCCACCATGCCTGGCCTAAATATTAATAAAATGTTTTGGTTTTAATGTCTAATATGGCAAATATTGATAGATAATCCTAGAAACAAAAGCTCTTTTGGGATGTCAATCATTTTTAAGAGTGTAAGTGGAGATGTCAATCATTTTTAAGAGTGTAAGAGTTTGAGGACTACTATACTAGTAGCAAATAGTAGTAAACTAGAGTCTTGTTTATAAAAAGGGTTGCTCTTGAGACTTTTCAGAGTATCCAAGGACCATACCTGCTTAGCAAAAAATATCGTGTCAAGTCGGGAGTCCTGAACCACAGAGCCTGCTGGTTCTTCTCCTGGCTGCCACTTGAAAAGAAAAATTAACCCATGAACTGGCCTACAAAACAAAATACAAATTAGTGACAAACCCTGCTCCTTTCATAATACATTGTTAATCTATAAAATGTTGTCAGTTATTTAACAAATATAATGCAAATGAATATGGGAAATTTTAAAAGATCACTATTGCCATTCATAGTCACTGGACTGTTGCCTTAGAAGACGCTAATACAAGTTAAAATTATAACAGTTAAAATAAAATTATAGTGAAAGGTTTACTTTCAAATCTGTAGACTATTCATTTCTACCCAATATCGCCTCAATTAAAAAATAAGAATATGGTAAAACCAGAAGCTGGCTGAACTCCAAAATATATAAAGTTCATGTAACATGTTTATAGATAAACGGCTGATAGCATATATTCTCTATATTAAATATAGGAAGTAACCTTCATATACTATTGGATTCATGAAAAATCCTCATATTGCAGTATGAATTGATGCTACCATCTCATACATAATGAAATCATCCACTTTCCTAAAGAAACTGTTTTTGAGCACAAAACATTAAATCACTACTTTGAAATTCCTTCTAGTCTATCTACCACAACTGCCTCCCACCCCACAAAAAAACTTTTCCTGTCCTCAGGGCTGGGCATGGTGTCTCAAGCCTGTAATTCCAGCACTTTGGGAGGCTAAGGCGGGCAGATTACTTGAGGCCAGGAGTTTGAGACCAGCCTGGACGACATAGTGAAACCACCTCTCTACTAAAAAAACAAAAACAAAACAAAACAAAGAAATTAGCCAGGCGTGGCAAAGCGTGCCTGTAATCCCAGCTACTTGGGAGGCTGAGGCAGAAAAATCACTTGAACCCAGGAGGCAGAGGTTGCAGTGAGCTGAGATCACACCACTGCACTCCAACATAGGTGACAGAGTGAGACAGTTTCAAACAAACAAACAAACAAAAAAAACCCAAAACTTCCCCCTTTTTATTTGATTCAATTTTATTTTAGACACGGGGTCTCACTATGTTGCCGGGGCTGGACTTGAGCTCCTGGGCTCAAGTGATCTCCCCGCCTCAACCTCCTGAGTAGCTACAACTACAAGCATACGCCACCATGCCTGGCTCCTATCTTTTTAAAGACAGTTCAAATGATGCACTTTTAATTAACCTTCCCTGATGTTAGCCACAAATGATCTCATTTCATCTAAAGTGATTGCTCTTTTTACGGGGAGGAGAAAGGTAGGAAGAAGAAAACTACCTATCTCCTTCTTACTATTAACAACAGTTGGCATATCCCTAAGTTCCTATTTTCCCTTTTAAAAGATGATTCCTTGACCCCATTCCAAGACTCCAAGTCTCCCAGCAGTGAAAATTCTTTTAGCCCTCCATTTGCAGATACAGGGTCAATGTTTGAGGGCATGGTGGTCAGGGGTAAGGAGAAGTTAAGAGAGGTGATTCTGGTCAGAAAGACGGGGGAAGGATAAAAGCTGTTTCTGGCATCAACATTTGGAACTTTAAATATAACTTTCCCAAGAGGCAATGTGATAGTGTGTAGGCAAGTTCTGGATTATTATAAATATACATTATGTATTAAATATGCTTTAGTACACTGACCTATTGTTCTTGCTTTTTATGTTAAATGTGTTCCATGTTCTAACACTATTGATATATGACTGAATTTTGTAAAAAAAAAAAAAAAAAAAAAAAAAATCAGCCAACCAGTACTTTGTGGATATGGAACTACAGAGACTTAGGTTTGACTCCCTTGAAAGTTACCTATCAGCCTCAGGTTCTTGGTTATAAAAAGAGAATAATAATATCTATCTCACAGGATTGAACAGACTTAAAGGACATAATGTATTAAACCTAGAGTAATCCAAGTAAAATAAACAAACAAATCTGAATATCCTTTAAGTTTGGTAAAGAATATACATATTATTAACACAACTAAAATTATACTTACTTTAATTTTTCAAAATTCTCAGGCTCTAAACTCCATATTTCTTCTACTTGGGCTCCTCGGCAACCTGAAATAATAAATTACTCTCTTCAGTAAACAGAATAATTCATTTTTTCCTTCAACATGAAATAAAATATTAACTAAAGGAAATGCAAGACATGACAAAACAAAATGGTAAAACCGACAAAGCTCACAGCCAAATCTCATTACTTCCTTTAATATATCCCAATTATTTATAGTGGGAGTATATTTATAATTTAAAGCATTTCAAGAGTTTATTTTCATTGAATTACCACTCTATGACGGTTCCTTCTCTCTCAATCTCTGGCTCCTCTATCCACTCTTTTCACTCAACTGTTCCATTTCTCCAGCTCTGTCTTTAGCCCTGTATTATTATTATTTTTTTCTTACTGTATACTTTTTTTTCTGGGAAAGTAAATAACTACCACTTAAGAGTAACTTTCAAATATATCTTTAGTTCTGATCCTTATCCTGAATTCCAACTGTATATTTTCAACTACTTCAGAGTCACGTCTCCTCCTCCCCTCCCAAATGTCCTTCTAGGACAGCAGTTCTCAACTAGGGTGATTTTGCTCCCCAGGGAACATTTGGCAATGATAGGCTTTTTTTTTTTTTTTTTTTTTTTAATTGTCATTATTTTCACTGGTGTGGGGGGTAGGGGACATGCTACTAGCATCTATTTGGTAGAGGCCAGGGATGCTGATAGATATCCTGCATTGCACAGGACAACCCCTGACAACCTTGAGAAAGAACACGATTTCTTTGAGCCTCAACTTTTGCCATGCATATATAAAACAAGGATATTTACCTGCTTCATACAAGCCACAAAATTCTTGCAGGGTATATAAGATTATCAAACAGTAAACACCAAGAATCACTTAATACAGACTCCCCAATAATATATATTAAATAAAAAGTTGAGGAGGGGGGAAGGTTTTAAAACGGTATTTACCAAATATCTTTTGTGTGCCAAGCATGCTACCAGGCCCTGGCAAGGACAGAAATTAATATTGTCACAATACTTAAAAAGTCACAATCTGGTAGTAGACAAGCACATACAATGCAAAAACTATATAGTATGCATAAATTACATATGAAGCATACATAGAACATGTTGTGGAAGTTCGGAGGTAAGAGAGAACATTACTACCTGTACTGGTTACCAAAAAAAAAAAAAAAAAAAAAAACTGTCATGGATAAATGAACTAGGTCTTTCAAAAAATGATCATATGATTTGTCATCTAAACCAGAACACTGCTCCAAAGCGAAAGGGGATGCTAACGTTAAAATGCTTTGAAATATTTATTTATTAACTAACACATCTGCATTATACCAATGAGTCTATAAAATCGTTCAATTCAGAAACAAATTTCAAAAATAACTGTCTTAAAAACCAACCTGGAGCCCCAAGGAAAACGCTCGTGGAGTTCTCCCAAATTGTTGTCAATGTGTTAAATTTAACTGACTGCTAGGTATGCTATCTTCCAACAGACAGTTTTGACAATTTGTCATTCCCCTAACCTTACCGATAAGTCTATCAGAAGCAGCAAGAATGGCCCCAGCTTCTGCACCTCTGCAAAAAAACACCCCCATATGTCTTCCACAACCCCACTCTCAGTCATTCCATGGTACAGATAAACTCCATTGGCTGATGATGTGACCAAATAGGAAAAACTAGATTGACAGCACTCAGGTAGTCTCTCCTTAAACAAAGACTATACCCAATTATTTTAACTAAAGTGGGAGCCCTAAATTGCAGGCACTGTTACCTTGTACTCCTAAACTTAGCTGGTACCATTTTAGGGGCCGTAACAATTGTAAGCAACACTTGCTTCCAGGGGCACCATGTGCACCCCTAGACTTCTTGTGTGAAAGCCAGGCATTATCTCTGTCCTCAAAACAAGGTGAAATGTACCTTAGGAGCAGTCATAATAGACTTTCATGTTAAGGAAACACTGTGTTGGACCCAAAAGTCATTCAAATCAGCCCTAACTCATGGGTCAGAGTTGTTATAGATGATGGAATTACTCTTCTTCCTTGCATGACAAGGTGGAGTCTGCAAAATCACTTATATATCTTGCTGTCCCGGGATTAATGCTTTGAGCCAAGAGGAAATGTCAATACAAAAATCCAAGAAAGTCATCTGGTTTTTTACTGTAAACATTATAAAGACACAAATTAAACAGATTTGACACCAACCCTGTTGGTCAGGTCATATTGAGCAGAATGGCTGAGGGAATGGCTATTCGGTGTAGAAAGAAGGCTGGATATTGTTGGAAGAATTGTCTTCCAATGGGTTTCTCCTGTTTCTGCACATCTTCTGCAAGGAATTACCAGCTTTGCTCTGGACCATCTTTTCAAGGATGTTTATACAGTAACAGAGTTGGAAGACGGAGATAGCACCTTTTTTTGAGGCAGAGGGAAGGCTGATTTGCTGCTCAGGATAATAAAGATAATGTGTCCCTAAAGGCAAAAGCTGAGCAGGTTTGCTAGCAGCTTCCTTGTAAGATTAGTTCTCTATCTCAGAGTTCCTCAGCTGTAATACAGCCTCACTACTTGTGCAGCATCTACCAGAGCCCACCTCCATCCTCATGGACTCGGAGGAAATGGGAACCAATGTGAAAATGAATCTCCTGTTGCCTACTATGCTATGAGTAATACAACCCTTATCTCTAAACCAAAAGTTGTCTGCTAGCATCTATGAAACTGGCAAGCCAACTTATTTGCTGGCAAGCAGGATAAAATCTAACACTTCATAATTCTTAATAGATGTTAGCTTTTGTCAAATGCCTTTTCCATCTATTGACATAATCATATTTTTTATTTTTGATTTTTTGGCTTATTAATATAGTACATTACATTGATTTTTAAATGTTAAGCCAATCCTAAATTCCTGGTAAATTCCTGGGGTAAATCCCACTTAGTCATGATGTATTGTCCACTGAATGAATTATTAAATTCAATTCCATAAAATGGTTTAAAATTTGTACATTTAAGTTAATGATGGATATAGGTCTGTAATTTTCTTTTCTAGTAATATCTTTATCTGGTTTGGTGTCAGGATAATGCTGGTCCTCAGAAAATGAATTGGGAAGCATTCCTTTCTCTCCAATTAGTTTGGAAGAGTTTGTGTAGAATTCGTATTATTTATATTATTAAATATTTGATAGAATTTACCAGTGAATCCACCTTGGCTAGAATTTCTTTGTGGGAAAATTTTAAACTACAATTTCCATTTCTTTAATAAATACAGGGCATATACTGGTTATCTATTTCTTAAGTGAACACTGGTAATTTGTGTCTTTAAAGGAATTTGTACATTTCATCTAAATAGTCAAATTTATTGGCATAAAATTGTTCATAATATTATTTTTAGTATCTGTAGCATCTGTAGTGCTGTCACCTCTCTCATTCCTACACTGAAATACAGGAACATTTCTTTTTTCTGATCAGTCTGGCTACAGCAATTCTATTGATCTTCCCCAAAAAACAGCTCTTAGTTTCATGTATTTTCTCCATTTTTTTTCTCTTTTCTGTTCCACTAATTTCAACTCCGATCTTTATTATTTCCTGTCATCTTCTTACTTTAGGTTTAGTGTGCTCTCGTCTTCTACTTTCTTATAATAAAATGAAAGCTGGGGTCATTGGTTTGTTGTAAGAAAAATGAATCCAGTCCCCATTACTCTATCTTGACTGTAACCAAATGTTTATAACTTCTGTTTTTATTAACAGACCATCACGGTTTGTTTTGGCACACATTTGTTATTATGTATGGACCATACCAATTAAAAGTACAGTTCTGCTCCGCCAGTTTCTTAATTTAAAGATACTACATTCCACCAAACTCTGTATTTACATACTTACTGCGTCTACAATTCATTTCCCTTTCAATGATGGAACTTTTGAAATGAATTTATGACAGCATTCACAATACAGATATTTCATTTTTGAAAGAATCAACAGCCAAAAGCTTTTTAAAATATATAAATTGAGTGAAAAAAATGAAAATGATGGAAATAATTGGAATAAATTGATTTTCTCTTTGAAGCATCCGATGGTGACATAAAACTACCATCATTTAACTTTTTGCACGTTCTTCTGCTAATGAAGCCAATTTATTAATAGTTACTGCTTTTTCATATGTGCATGTACAGAAGATTTTATATATCATTCTTTCATACATGATCTCCAATTTTTCTGCACATATGAAATTGAAGGAGTAAACAAACTTACCTAGTACAACATTTCTGAAAGTTAACTGTAACATATTGTTAAGGTTTTGAGGGTGAAATATATGGCTAAATCTGCAGACATGTCAAACTCAGTGTCTGTCCAAATCTGAATCCATTTTCTTGTCCATCAAGCCTGCTTTTCACTTGTAATTGCGTTTCACCAGCCACCCAGGCTAGAAACCAGGGAGTTATTTTTGCCTCTTTTTTCCCCCAACGTCTAGTAAGCAGTCCTTTTGATTTTTTTTTCTCTCATGTAGGAGTAATATACTACCACTCAACCTCTACTGTAAGGTTGGCAGCCCTGAGAACTCCTTTTTTAATTTAGCATGTTATGGATGTATTTCTGCTCCCAAAGGAATAAAGAGCAGACATTTCCACATGCAACTGCTGATTTAAATATAGTAAACTTATGGAATCTAACTCCTCCTTCCTAACCCACTAGTTTAGCCAGTCATCTCGGACTCCAACCATTTCAAGAGATGTCTAGCTTCCCTCACTTTATTCCAACCTGTCTTGCACACTTACAAGCACAATAAACCTTAATTATGAATGTCATTTCAGCATTAAAATATATTTGATAGGTAAATCCCCAGTCACTACAGGGTAATTCAAACTATACAACATGGGATACAATCTGGCCTCGGTTTATCTTTTTAGTTTCAGATGCAAATAAATATTCCTCCAGTCTGTTACATTACGTTCTAGTCATTTTGCTAGCTGTTCGCTAAGCCATATACTTTAACATCACTACTGTTTATGTTTTTCCTTCTGCCTGTGCTCCTCCACGACCTGTGTACTTATAACATTTTGTACATACTTTAATACAGCAATTAACACACCATATTATAGTCTACCAATTCTTCAAAACAGCAGTTACGGTTTATTCACATGGAAATTTTCCAATCCTTGGCTGGGCGCAGAGGCTCACGCCTGTAATCTCAGCACTTTGGGAGGCCGAGTCGGGTGGATCACGAGGTCAGGAGCTCGAGACCAGCGTGGCCAGCATGGTGAAACCCTGTCTCTACTAAAAATAGAAAAAAATTACCCGGCCTGGTGGCGCGTGCCTGTAATCCCAGCTACTCGGGAGGCTGAGGTAGAAAAATCGCTTTACCTGGAGAGATGGAGTTTGCAGTGAGCCAAGATCGCGCCACTGCACTCCAGCCTGGGCGACAGAGCTAGACTCTGTCTCAAAAAAAAAGAAAAGAAAAGAAAAGAAAATTTCCCAATCCTTACCACTGTGCCTGAGATACAGATGAACAACATATGCTTGATAAATGACATTCCAAATATTAAGCTATGTACAATAGGCAGTATCTCCATCAACGTTTGTTATCCCGCGTGAAAGTTTTAACACCTTAGAATCAATAATACTTGGGAAATGTAACAGATAAAAACGTACTGTCCAAAGAAGAGACTAAAGATAAACAGGGAAGGATAAAAAGTCAAATGTGCTGATTATTTAGGACGGAAGGCACTAAACACAGCCAGAGAGAAACTGTGAGGAAAGCATGTGGCCTCTAGTCTAGAACACTAGCTCAAGAAAACTCACTTCACCGGAAGACAGCAATGAGCAGAGAGCGGAACCAGTGAAGTGGCCTTTCAGGCCCACGCAGTCGGCGTGTGTGGACGTCCCGAAGAGCTATTCACACATTCAGGGCGTTCTGCTTTGAGTAACCAGAACCTCGAGTTCCTGGGCGGCTTAGGCCGCAGACACCTCACCCTTGAGAAGGCACACCCTAGGGTGGCTCCTGCAGGACTAATGGCCTGAGCAATGCACTTGACCACACCAGCCCGGGATAAGGTGCGCGCCACAGAGAAGGGGCAGTGGAAAGGACAGTATGTGCTTTAAGAGCTTGGGGAGCGAGGGTCCTCAAGTCAATTACAGGATTTGGGTGCCAGGTCCTGAGGATATAGCAGGCACAAGACAGACACGATCCTTGCCCTCGTGGTGTGGCTCTTCAAATTACTGTGGAAACGCGACTGTTTCGAGAGCAGAAAACCTACATTTCCCCCACCCGGACTCCAGGTTCCTGAAGTCACCTCTCCAGATGCGGGGCGGCGGTGGCCGCAGGGAACCACTCCATGCCCAGCTTGGGCCTCCTCCCGTGACCCCAGGCCCAGGACGGTCCCCCAGGTTCTCACCGAATCCTTTAATGAGCTCGGTGAAGACCCCGGGGTCGCTTTCCATGAGGCACCACTCCCCGGCATTGCCCGTCATGGCCCCGGCCACACACCGCCCCGATCCACCTCTCGCTCTCGGCCGCCCCCCGCACCAGCTGCCGCCAGCCACAGATCTCAGCAAACCCGCCGCCGAGCTCGTCCACCACACGTCACCCCGCCTACTTCCCGACAGCCTCCGGGCGCCGTCACCTGCAGCGCGACGGAGCGCGCGAGGACGCTCTAGCCACCCTAGAGACATCGAAACTCTTCCCAGGCCTTGCAGCACCCGTAGCGGATTCGGAAGGGCTGGGGCCTGAGAAGAAAGGGCGGAGATTCAGAGCGCCAAAGGAGGTAACATCCGGGATCCTCGCCCCAATGGGGCGGAGGCGGGGCAAAAGAAGAGGGGCGGGACTCGTTCCCGGGAACCGAACCTGGAATTCCCCGGCGGCAGTGGGGCTGTTGCTGTCGCTGTCGCTGCCTATCGGTCTGCCGTCTCTTGTCGTTTCCCAGCGCTGCGCAGGACTTCTCCTGGCGGCGCTGCGGGTCCAGGTGGGGGGTCGGCTGCCAGGCACAGGTGAGGACATTGCGGGAAGCCGGCTGGGAGCCTTTTGTGCTATGTGAGCGGCCCCAGGGACGCGCAAAGTCTGACCAGTCCTCCATGTCTCTCACCCGCATCCCAGGGGCTGAGGCTGGGCAAATGCCGCGAAACTATCGCTCTTCGCCGCCTCGCTTCCGCGCCTGCCCACCCTGGGAAACGGAACCAGCATCGCGGTAGGGACATCCTCGCTAGGCCTGCCCGGACCATTCCTGAGGGTGGGCCCTTTCCGAAGCCGGGACCGCTCCTGCTTGTCGGCATCGCTCCCCGCAGGCCGACGTCGAGAGGGCCTGCTTTACTCCTCCTCTTTCTCCTCCTCCCGCGGCTTCTGCGCGGAGAGGCGTCGCCCGGAATCTGGGTTTTGGAAGAAGGATCTTTGTGGGAAGACAAGGCGAATTTTCATAGAGGGAATAACGAGGGAGAGGAGAAAGGTCTGTCCTACAGTCCATGGGGCTGCTAGACTGGTGGAAGGGGATGCGATGCGTCAAGGGAAAATTAGGTTGAAAACAAATGTCGTGTATTAATCTAAAAACATTTGGAATGGTTCTAAAACTGGATGATGAGTTAAAACCCAATATTTACTAAATTGCCCTCATTCAACAGGCTCTCCCAGAATACTGTAGTGTTAAGATTGAAGTTTTTAAGAGTGTATTTGTTAAAGGCTTTAAGTTGCATATTCCTTAAAAGCTGCATATTCCAAGAAAGACCCTTGGCTTCCAAGGAAAAAACAAAAAAGTTGTAGTGGATAAAACTCTGACTCCTTCCTTCTCAAATAGGTGACCTGTGCCCTGGAGTTAGGGAGCCTTGTGCTACGGATTATGTGAAGCCTCGAAATAAACATGGTAAATTTTATGAGGGAAGCAACAGAGCAGCTTTTGTATTAAAAGAAGCCTGAGTACGTTATGGGGTAGAAGCCAAAATTTGTATGAAGTGTTGGTTTAAAAAAAATTTTTTTGTAACTTTCTTGAAGTTTATCTCCGAAAACTCTGCCCTCAACTTGGAGAGTGGGGGGATTCTGTTCAGTGTATTTCCTTGAGATACTTAATTGGAAAGGTTTAAGAGGCACAAGAGTCCAGAATGATTGGCATCAGAGCCCGAAGTAGTTTGTGGTATTTTTTTAAATCTGTAATATTGCTATGAACTTGAAACTGTTTTCTGTGCAGAATGCATCAAAACTAAAATTTATTTGATACCCAACTTAATTAACATGGTACCTATTGTAGACCAAACTGAAAATTTAGCCTTTGGCACAATCTAGAAGTAAGCAGAGGAGGGGGTTAAAATGTCTTTCATTATGTTAACATTTGATCCTGAGAGTTTCCATAAAAAGCCAGATTTCTGGATCTTTGAGAAAAATGAGATCTGGCAACTACTAGTTCCATACCACGTGGCAACCGGTTGGTAGCTCCCCTCAGACTAGCATGCTGTCATTTTTGCCACAGTTCCTTCCTCATCAGTTTTTATAGCATCACATTGATTAGTGGATTCAAATACCTGTATCATGGGTAAGCAAACCTCTATCATGGGCCCATTTTTGTAGTATTGTTTCTTTACATTTGTCGTGCACTCTCATAGATTGACAAATCTTTGACTTAATTTAAAAAGGAATAATCTGCAAATGTCTTTGACTTCTTGAGATGAAAGGCAGCATTTTCAAATTATCAAGAGACTTTGGAAAGATGTTGAGATGTGTAAATTCAAGAAAAATGTAGGATTCCTTGGAAATAACATATTAGTACTGATAGAAGATACTGTACATGCTGTAGTTCTGATGATTGTGAAACAAGTGCTATTATATAATGTGGTATAAGCATTTCCTGATTTTGCATTCTAAATTAAATTTTAAAAGTAGAGAAATGAACAATGCATAAAATATCCACAACCAATTTAAAATGTGGCCATGCTTGGCCGGGCGCGGTGGCTCACACCTGTAATCCCAGCACTTTGGGAGGCCCAGGCAGGTGGATCACGAGGTCAGGAGTTCAAGACCAGCCTGGCCAACATGGTGAAACCCCGTCTCTACTAAACATACAAAAAATTAGCCGGACACCGTGGCAGGTGCCTGTAATCCCAGCTATTGGGAGGCTGAGGCAGGAGAATCGCTTGAACTTGTAGGGCGGCGGTTACAGTGAGCCAAGATTGCGCCACTGCACATCAGCCTGGGCGACAGAGTGAGACTCCGTCTCAAAAAAACAAAAAAGAAAAATGTGGCCATGCTTTTAATATTATGGCATTGTAATATTTAACTTCTCAAGAATTTAATTTATAGAGATTTAATACATTAGTTGTATGGTGTGTTTTAAGAGCACTAGATAGATAGGTCAGGCCCATCCAAAGAATTAACTATATTTTTTTTGTTGTTAATCTGGATTTACAACACTTGATTATCCAGGAATGGATTAACTGATGACCAGGTTCTGACCTCACTCACTGCCCAATTGCCTTCTAAACCACTGATAAATGGAGCTTAAGCTTTGAGGCAGGAGATGATGGCAGTTGGAGAAAGAAGAAATTAAGTTGCTGTGTATGTCTGTGTGTATCTCAAATTGCTTTTAAAAGTCAAATATAAAAATTGTAAGGCTAAATATAATTTTCATGTAATCAATTGTATTGGTGCTCTCCATTATGATATAGATAATAGCAGGGTTATTTAAGTGCTTGTTTATTTAAATAACTTTCCAAATATATTTCACCTGGCCAGTTTTTGTGTTTTTAATAATAGATTTTTAGAATATAATTCACATATCATGAAGTTTACCATTTTAAAGTATCCAGTGCATTGGTTTCTAGTATATTCACAGAGTTGTGCAGTCATCACCACTAATTTCAGAACATTTTCATCACCCAAAAAGAAATCTACCCATTAGCAGTCACTTCCCAGTGTTCCTTCCCCGTGGCCTCTGTCAACCTTAGACTGATGTACTTTTTATTTCTATGAATTTACCTACTCTGGAAAATTCATATAAATGGAATTGTAATACAATATGTGGCCTCTCGTGACTGGCTTCTTTCACTTGACATAATGTTTTCAACGTTTGTTTACATTGTGTCATGTATCAGTACTTCATCCCTTTTTATTGTCTAATAATAGTCCATTGTGTGGATGTACCATATTTTTTCATCCCTTCATCAGTCGATGGACATTTGGGTTGCTTCTACTTTTTGACTGTTATGAATAATGTTGATAAAAACATCTGTGTACAACTTTT